GCTGGCTCGAAAGAAATCATGTTGAGATAAATGAAAGGGTTTCGGCGTGTTTTTCTTCCCTGCGAGGGGGGGCGATGGGACACAAGAACCCGCCCCCCGTGCGCTCTTTAGAGCACTGCAGACGACGATAGTCGGAGGCTGCACGTGGTCAATGTGCTGTTGACCCACGGGCAGGATATTTTTCGCTTGACACTCATCACGCCGGGCGCTAGCAGCTGTCACAGTGGCGTCACAAGCAAACACCTGAACAAACAAACTTTTCTATATTAAACGTGGGGTTCTGTAATCGAGACAGTCCAATCCCCAGGATCCACCTCCCCTAGTATCGCTAGTATGCCACCGCAGAGTTTTTGGCCGGCGATATCAATCTTTTTATTCCTATCGCCAGAAACCTCCACGAGAGACTCGCGCAACGCGATGGCAACACCGGGGGGCTCGCAAAGAGACACCATTCCGCGCGCCACCCCCCACCGCTCCCCGCCCACCTCCATGCCCTGGAGGGATTCGGTTAACCAGATGCATCGGGGCCAAACCAATCTGAAAAGCGTCCGAGGCGAGCTGACAAAGACTTAAAAGAGGAAGACGCCGCCAGGACGATGGCGAGCAGCGTGCGGCGGCGGCGGCCTGCTTAACGAGAAGCACTTCGGGGGCCAACGCGCAGCCCCCTCCCCCCCACCCCATCCTTCGGTAATTGAGCACGACACAAGCGCAATGCGCCCCATTAACCGGACACCCGCTGCCCCATCTCCCCCCCCTCCTGCTTCCCCCCCCCACCACCACCACCACCACCGCCACACACCCCCAGTTTCCGCCAGCCTCCATCACGCTGCCGCCCCCCCCACCCCTCTCTCGGCGGCCAACATGGCTTCCTCCTGGCAGGCGCCGTTTCTCTGGCGGGCGGTGGCGTTGGCGCCGTCCAGCCTCCATTGGAAACACGTGAGGGGAAGAATGCTCAACCCCAACCCTCGCGACGACGTCTCCCCTCTCAGCGGCATTCACAGCCGTCCCTCTATGACAGCTCCGCACGCAGCATCCATCTCTGTCTCCAAACATGTTATGATTTCAATTAGGCTGGAAAAACTTCTCTTTTTTTGGAGGGGTTTTTTTTTCTCTCTTTTTTTTTTTCGGAAGGCAGTACTTTTTCGCGAGCCTTCTTGCTTTGAAGAGTGTGGGGCTGCGGGGCGGGGGAGAGAAAACTTGGGGTAAAGCAAAGCGGCGCAGAACTGGCAAAGCCACCACCCCCCCCCCACCGCCGCCGCTCCCCCAAAGTCAAACTACAGTGGGAAAACACAGGGAACTCTTTCCATGCAGTGGGCTTCGCCTTGCCAGCACACTTTGCTTGCGGGCTTACTGAAACATTTTTGCGCCCATATTTTCAAAGGATTTGAATCGAAGGCCTTCGTGAGAAAACTTCTTATTTATGAACTCTCCAGACGATGCTCAACCCTCTCTTTCCTGTGAACCGGCGCACATTCTTCAAACACACTCGAGGGTACACGCACCGCTCCTGCTTTCAAGTCTGCTAACGATACCAAAAATCTCACGTATATAGATCTTTTTAACTTTGCCACGGAGCGAGATTTTTTTTCTATTTCCATTTAACTAGCCACATGAGTACGCAAATCGGCATCAAAGATGGTTGGGAATGAAATTTTTAAAGTAGGTGTGCCAATCTAACCTCGACTTGTTTTGCAGAGGCATTTATGAACGCATCATAGTCCAATTAAAGCTCTACGTTGGGTATTAGTAATTTTCCAAATCACACGGACAGTTCTGGATGTTCCATATAAGGAGTGTTAGAATGTTGCTCTCTATGCCCACCCCACTACCAATGATTTCAAGGATTATTGAAATGCATGGTCTCGATTTAACTGTGCTGAAGGTAGCGGCCTCTAGTGGCTGGAAGGGTCACATGAAGACTTCACGTTGAACTTGGACAAATCGGGACGCCAATTCTCACGCGCACGATTCGGTGCACCTATCACGGAGCTAAAAAGTTATGAATCTCCGTGCCGTCACAGCCATATTCAACGCAAGAGTGTGTCAAACGTTTGACCAGCAGGCGTAAGCAAACATACGTATTCTAAGAATAAAACAAGGAAAACATTTGCAGACTCAATTTTAAATCTGTGACCTCACACTGCTATTTAAAATCATGGCTTACATCACGCATAGCTCAGAATTAACAAACAAGAAAACGTACCGAAAAAAGAAGTCGGATGCGAGTTTCTCACTGTGACATTTCACATTCCAGAGTAGATTTTTTTTTAAAGGTCAAATTTACGAGAAAAATAGCCGCTATAAGCTACAACCACTGGCCAACAGAAACACACATAACCACAAACGATGTACCAAACATCTTGACATTTTCCGAGAGGCAAATAGCATCTTGTTTAGTTTAGTTGTTAAAACGTTGGCATGCTTACATGTCGAATTATCTCTCACACTATAGATGTACATTTGACATAATCAGTGTGATACTGGGTGAAAGGACTACGCTGAAAAACTAAACAACTAAAAACGATGAAGGAATTAAAGTTTCTTGCATTCACGACAATGTTGTGGATCACAGCTTGAAATGCGAGTCCTTTTTGATGCTTTGCTTATAGAGCTCCATTAAAATGCTTATAATTACAGTACACCCATCTCTTCGTATTATTATCAACATCACCCTTCTTTCAATATACTACCATGGTTACTGTTCACGTAAATTTCACTCGCTGATTTCTCCACCGATGACGATGACTCGCGAGCTAAGAGAGTGAACGTTGCACGTCCCATCCACATCAGTCGTCCACCACACTGCGAGTCACTCCACGCGTCTCTTCCTGCTTCTCCTCCTCCTCCTCTAGCACTGGCAGACTTTGGAATTCCCTCCCGTTCATCTTCCCCATCCCACCACCCCACCAAAGTTTTATAACCTTTTTTTCGATTTAAAGCTTTTATGACTGCAGGGATTCATCTTCTTGGTTCTTTCGGTAAAGTCACGTAGAAGGGAAATAATAAAATAATAAAAATAAAACATAATAAAATAATTCTCACGACGTTTCGGCCACAACGCAAGCAGCCGTCCTTAGGTAAAGAACAGGTCTGTCGGAAAGACAGCGTCATTCAAGAAGAACACCTGAGGACGGCTGCTTGCGTTGTGGCCGAAACGTCGTGAGAATTATTTTATTATGTTTTATTTTTATTATTTTATTATTTCCCTTCTACGTGACTTTACCGAAAGAACCAAGAAGAAGATTTTATAACCTTTCTTCAATTCAAGAAATGCGTGTATTTATGAAAATATTATCTATTGTACCTTCAATAGTGTTGTATGTTGCTACTTGCTCCTCAATGAAAGACAAATTAATTGGTTCACTGATGACATATATTTGCAAGTGTTTAGCATAACACTGAAAACAATGTAGAGTCTTACCCTGATCCTGGTCTACGAGTGAAATAAATCAACCTCCAGATAATTTTTGTTTTGGGTCAAAATGTAAAATAATGTTTTTTTTGGCCTTTATCATTATATTCGATTACATTTGTATCATATTTCAGCTTTCCAGCCATTCTAGAACATGATTGGAATGTATATCGGTCACTTAATCACTATAATCTAGATACATTAGACATTTTAGTGCCATTTTTCAAATCAAGATCTCTAAAAGTATTATTGAGGCCAAGTATTACGGCAGTGGTTAACAAAGAGCATTATGAATCAGCCTGGGTTCAATTCCCAGCTACAGCGAACATCAGCGATGAGTGATATGACCACGATAGAGAGAAGTATGATCAAACAACCTCCGTGACCCAAACTTTGTCCAGAGGCCTTCATCCAGCAGTAGATTGACGAAGGGCTAATATTAACGCTACTCTATTATTCATTTTCCATCATCAGCATTATTAACATTATTACGGCATCAACGTTTTGGAACAACCTTGTTTCCTCCCTTAACCATGACGTCTTCTATCAAAAGTATATCCTTAAGCAGAAGATTATTGCCATATACGGCCACAATTGCCAACGTGATTTGTAGCTATGAACCTTACCAATGTATCGCTTATTGAAATGTAACGTGCAATGTAATCGAGGGACTGTATTGTCTTGGTGTGGTCTGGGATTGTTGTTGTTATGCTGCCTACCCCAAATTTGCAGTTGGTATTGCCAAACAGGCAGGAGTGTATGAAGACGGAAGCTTGTGTTGCCTCCGAAACGTCGTGATTTTATTGTTTTTATTTTTTATTAATTTTAATTAATTTTTTACCTACGTGACTTTACCGAAAGAACTAAGAGTCGGAGTGTATGTACTTGTGCAATGTGTGCTTTATTTCTTTATATTTTTCGTGACTTGCCTCCTTTTCTATATCTTGCTCTTTTATAGTTTTTTGTTGCGTTGTTTCTTGCTGTAGCTTTCTGATCTGCCCCCACTGGACATCTGTGACAAAAAGCTTCCGAGCTCATCGGATTCCTCCAGTCTAAATAAAGATTCAGATTCTGATACTTCTATTGTTATCAAGGCAGAAGTTACAAGCACTGAGTAATATGCCTAATGTTAGGTTTGAAGGCACTGCGGTCGGTACAACGGGGCATGACAGTGGTGAAATGTTAACTTCCTCGCCTGGTATACAGGAGATCGTGGGTTTGATCCCGAACCTGACGCCTGCTGTGTATTTGGAGTTTGCATGCTCTCCCCGTGGTCACGTGGATTTTTTCTCCGGGTCCTCTAGTTTTTTTCCTCCACATGTAAATATGTGTTTAGAGTATTTGGCTGCTATACATGTCCACGTGATAAGCCACTTCATTGAGATATCATTTGTCACCAAGTCGCTTCTGAAAAAAGCTAAAAAGCTCAGTGGACCTTACCTGGTAAGATAAAAATAGGTAAATTCTCGTTTACAATGTGGAATTAAACCGCACCTTGCTTACTTCCGCACCTTCGATTGGCACGGTTGGCTTTACGTACGGTGCGAAAGACGTTCGACACGCACACACACATTCACACTGTACGTACTTCGTATCCAAACTGCAACTCGTCGGGCGTGAAGCATGATGATGTCATCGTCGATGGCGAGCACGGCCTCCGTCTCGATCTCCTCGTAGGGAAAGAAGCGGTTGCTCAGCTTGTTTTCCGTTGTCTGCACCACCTTGAGAGGCACCGTGATGCGAGGCCACAAGGGTTCTGCGGAGGTGCGCAGGGCCAACTGCGGGAAGGCAGACGTCGGCGGTGAGTCACACGGAACCACCACCAGCAAAACCGTGACGACTGTCAGTTCTTCAGAACTGCTTTTTGTGTTAGTTTGTTGTCCTTCCCCTGCACCTCCGATCAGCGAGGTTGGCTACGTATGGTGCAAAAGAAGTTCAACATGCATACATACGCACAGGATCAGCACCACCACGACTATCCGCACTAGCACCATAATCAACACCAAGCATGACGACTGTCAGCATCACCACTAATACCATCACCACGACGACTGTCCGTGTCACCACGAAACACCATCACGACTTTTGGCACTATCGCCACCACTTTCGCCAACATCAAATCTTCTGTCATCACCAACATTATCACTCGTGTACATCATTCTCCCCGTTCAATAGTTTATCGTGTTGTTCGAGTAAGAGTTAATTATTTTAAACCTATACAAACAAGCTATACTCTTTCAAAAAGGTAGCAAAACGTCACATTAAAAAACAATGTCCTTAGAGCCTCTTGCAAATGCGAATTGACAGGACACCAAATGAAATCCCATCTGAGCAACGGCACGTTACTAATGCACCTAGACCAAGGTTCAAAGAAATGCCGAAGCTGGGCACTGTTACCGTTAAGCGTTCTACCGTTGAGCCTACCCTGTTGCCGTCATCGCAAATTAAATCAGTAAGACAGGCACTATTTCATGCATGTCGATGGAACTCCGCACCCTTACCTAAATCACTGCTGCCCTCCCTCCCCCTACCCTCCGCCTTCTAAAGGAAAACTTCCTCCCCGACGTGAGGTCAAAGGTCAGCAGGGATGGAGGCTGCCATTAACCCTGCTCTTTTCTACCATTCTTTGCGATCGCGCCCGCAGACGTCCGCGTGAGTGTGCGTCTATGCTTAGAGCCCGATGGAATCATGTGACTATGAACTGGGCTTTGCTGCTAACTTTGTGAAAAACGCACACACAAAAAGCAGATGTAGCTGTATGTGGACCCGTTATGGATAGATAACGGTAATTGTTTGTACAGTTAGGCTTCTTACTCGCTTTCCAACGCATCGTCTCAGATAAGAAACATTCAGTCTTCCCAAGTGTCACTCCTTTTAAACTGTACTGTGCAGTTGAATATACTTTCCTCCATGTTTCTTTGTTATAAACAGACAATGTGTGTTGAACTAAAACAGTTATGGCTGTGCTGGCAAACATAACAGTAAATTATTACAATTACTTCAAGACAAGTGTCATTACCAAAGGCTCTTTTGAAAATACTTATATTGTTTTATGAACATGTTTTGGCAGACTAACAGCTGATATTAACTCACATTTGATATCTTATGATATAACATCGCAGTTTATCCAGCAAGGCCTCAGTGGGACTCAAATAAAACAATTCAGGAGGATCTTGGTTGAAATATTTGGCTCATTCCTTAGGATTTTTTTTAGAGTGGGAAAACAGAATTTATGCCATAAAGCCACACTAGGGGGTAACATTAAAACGCCACAAAGACAACTTTACTGCCTCCAACAGGCACCAATTCATTGCTCTGCAGGTGGGGTCCTCCTAAACATGACAACACCATCCCAGGGTGATCCACCAACCTAGCATCCAAGTCACGAGACTTCAGATGTGCATCGCCATCAATATTCCAGGTCACCAAACTGAAGATTCAACCCCACTTCTGCAGCCGGGATATACAATTATTTAAGTGGGCGATGGCTCTACCGATTATCGATTCTATTACGCCACAAACCGGATAACACGAACATAGATGGGATACAAAAAAAGGACCAATGTTCCCACTTGTGACACTGGACACGAGGTAATGGGTGGGGGAGGAGGGGGCTTGACATCATCGGCATCATGAGCCATGTCACGTTGGCCATAGCTTGTAGCTTGTATGGGCTGCCACTATTTTCAAAGGACCCACCCCCCGAGTAATCGACCACAAAAATATTAGTGGATTAGAATTTTGCGTCGATTAAACGACTTAATTTGTTACTTTTCCCAACTGCATAGCTGTCAACCCATACGGTTTACCCGTATTCTTGTACAGGGAAATTTAGTTTTCAGGTTCATACGGCGTACAGCTGTTCCAATACAGGCAAAAACTTAGTTTTCGTCTATTTGCTTGTGTTTCCCCCTTGTGATGGGACTTTGTAGGATGAATGTTGAGATTTATAAGTGGCACGGGGGTGACCAATACAGTCTGAATTGCTCTATAATAAGACAGGCACTGATAAGGGGTTGGCAGGTATGCAACTGGCCCGTCTTACTGGCCCTTCGTTATGCAATATGAAGAAGGGCAATATGCCATTATAAGTTTTCCTATCAAGGTAGTGTTCATGCCAAATTACCGTCTCACCAAATGCGTTGTTTACTCATGCCAGCTCTATGCGCGTGTTGTTGACGTGCATGTAAAATGTGTGCCCCGTGCTCTTAAAAGTTGAGTTAAAAACTTAATAACAGAACAAGCGCTACAATCACGGTCAAGTGGTCCATCATTCGCTCGAGTAACATCATTGCAACCTTGTGCTAAAACTTGTCAGGCCATAGGAATTGCAGGACAAAAATACGCTTACAGTCCTTGGTCATTCCACTGCTGCATAAGGGCCTCCCCCACATCGTGTGGCCATGAGGGACAATTTTTAAATCCTTTATATTAAGTTCACTTGCTTGCTTGCGCGCTTACGACCGTGCAAATCTTTCGGTCGTTTTTTAACCCACTTCCCGTGATCCAATCGAGCTGACATTTTGCACACAGACTCGTTATGCGTGACAATTTATTTTCGTGAAATTTTTTTCTCCAAAATTTTACACTTTTTAGGATTTTTTTTTTTATATTTAATTACCAATTGCTTAATGGTGTCAGGCAATCATCTGACCCATAGGTGGCAACCATCTCAAGCCAGAGGACGAGAGGACTCTAGTCGCCCGTTTCAAAGACCAATGTGGGCTGGGTTGTGGCCCATTGAACACGCATATAAAGGATTTATAGTGAAAAACTTTGTTTTTACGGGTTAATTTTTTGTACCATACTTCACCATGCTGGCCAGTGCGGGTTGGTGAACGGTGGGCCCAGAATCGAATATAAGAATAGGTTTTAACCTTTCTGGCAATAAGGTTTCACTTTGGTGTTTTAACATCTTAACTCCTGTTTCATTGCCAGAGAGGGTAAAAACCTGTTCTTATGCTTTGATAATGCCAACGGAGGCCCAGAATCATTTGCGTTTATCATCGTCAACTGATGTTACCCGTGAATGGGATCAAACTCGGGTCACTGGGTTTAGACATTACGAGAGTCCCATCTGATCAACAACATTTTAAACTCATGTTGGACAGCCTCGGCCATACAGCCTTGATATTTCGGTGTTGCATTATCCTTTGAAAAAACTCCCCATTGGCCTTGGCAGGATAACTTCCTACCGTCGTCGTCACACAGACACCAGGCACTGCGGGAACCCGCCGCGTTGTACCTGCGGGCGGGCTCTTGTTCTGGTTGTTCCAGACGACGAGCACCTTGGAGAGGCTGGGCGTCTTGGCGATCTCGGTGATGACGCGGAAGAGGCTTTCGACGCGGTCGTACGTGAGCACCACCGCCGTGAAGCCCTGGCTCCGTGGCGGGATGAGTGGCAGGAAGAGCGGGTTGTTCACACCGCTCCACCTCTGCGAACAAAACGAGTCAGAATCATCAGACGATTTATTCAGACTGGAGGAATCCGATGAGCTATAAAGCTCTTTTTCACCAACATGTCCAGTAGGGGTGGGTCAGCACGTTACAACGATAAACAATACAAAAGACGATAGCAGCACAAAGTATAGGAAAGGTAAACAAGTCACTTTGAAATATACAAATAACACTAAACTATCTTGATATTACTTGATTTGAAGCTTTCGTGACTGCAGGAATTACTCTTTGGTTATTTTTTGGTTCTCTATCTTACCAGATCAAGCCCACGAAGATATTAACTTATTTTGAAGAGACCTGGCCACGAATGATAGCTCAACAAATACTCCAATCCCTCCAATGGCTCCGAATCGGATCCCGGATCTATTTGAACAATCTAACTCACCTTCTTCAAGATTCGAAATGGACTTTCCCCTGCCTACCTCTCCTCCACTCTTATCTCACTTCCCTCTACACTCCGTTTTAGTCTCCCCTCTTGTAACAGTCTATACTCATCTCTACCCACTCTCCGCACCAACAACAAAGGCTTTCTTCCCAAGTCCCCAGTCAGTCTTCTCTTGGAGGAAGATCACTAACTTTCTCAGAAGAAGATAATTCATTTTCCTCTGCTGCCCCCAAAGCCTCAAAACTCCCATTTCCCCTGTCTTCCATGCTGTTGGCTCCCTGTCCAAGACCAGTCTCAAGACTTCACTTTTATTCCTCTGCCTATGCCTGACTGCCTGCCTCTAGAAAATAAATACCGTTTGTGCACAGCGTCTTGCGATGGGGGTCAGTTTGACGCGATAAAAAAAAAACCCAAGCTGTAATCGCAAACGTAGCGCTCTATAGCTTCGTAGCGCTAAAGAGCGTGCCGCCACGCTGGATGTGTAGCAGCACACATCCCTGCCGCGTGCGTCGCACACGTGTACACGTGTGTACACGCCGGATCTTTCCCCTACAGAGTGATCGCGCTCGCTGCTGTGCATTACAGCGACCTTCGTCACTTCGTACGCTCAGAGTTTTTGGCTGCTGCTGCTGCTGCTGTAAATGTCCACGTGATAAGCCACTTCTTTGAGCTATCATTTGTGGCCAGGTTGTTTCTGAAAAAAAGCTATATAGCTCAGTGGGCCCTAATTGGTAAAATAAAAATTGTTGAGTAAAAGTTTAGAATTTCATAGCTCATTGGATTCTACAGGATAAATAAATACTCTGATTCTGAAGAAAGAAATATTATCCACACTCGTAGCTTCTGCTACCTGCACCTATGTTGAACTTATTTCGCACCGTACGCAGCCAACCAGCGCTAAACGGAGGTGCGGGGAGATCTGGTTATCTCTGTAAAAAGACAGGATAATAGGGTGACTTTATTTTGTGATTCAACAACTCTCTTGAAAAAGACAGAAACTTGTAATGGACGGTAAACAAAATTTGAGAAACACACAAAATTAATTAAATGAGCATTCATCTAAGGTCACGCTGACATTGAAGTCTCATATTTATCTGCTCGCTGCTGTGTATTACAGCAACTGCAACTCACAAGGGACAGCGTGAACATTTGCCATTTCGTACATTCAAAGTATTTGGCTGCTACAAATTTCCACGTAACAAGCCACTTCGTTCACCTATCATTTGTGGCTTCTGAAAAAGGGTTACATGGTTCAGCAGGCCTTACCTGGTGAAAAAAAATAACATTGCTTAGTTTAGTAGTTTATTTGCGCTGGATACATCTATTTCATGCGACCACTTTGTTTGCGATGGAGCGGCGAGTAGCAGGGGATGTCGCGGCTAGCCCCGCATGCAGTTTTAACAGCAAACGTGAGCTGCACCAATCGAACGTACCGCTGTGAATGTTGTTACATTCTAAAAGAGGTGAGTTCCGCTGGTGAATAATGAATTAATCGGCTTAAAGAAATAAAATAAAAAATTACGTGGTCAACGGTAGTATACAACAATGGCAAGTTAGGTATATATATATGTTTGCACAAGTAAAAACATATATTTTTTAAAATATGTATTATTCTGTGTGTGGCTTTAAAATAAGCTTACATTTTAAAGACCCATGCAGAATAAGTATTTCAGTGGAGCCGAGTGTGAGTGAGCTCACTATTAACACGTTTTCAAGAAGTAGAGAGACCACCTTCTCATGAATCGCGTGTAATGTACATGTACCGTATGAGCGTGCGTGTGCAGATATAATATCATTCTTTGCAACCCTTTGTCAATCCACAGCTGGACAAATGCCTCCCTCTCGCACCTCGTTGGTCACAAGGATTGTTTGAGAATACTTCACTACGCAGGTCAATGAAGGTTGCTGAAGCAGGGGAGGATAGTACTTGCAACTTCATCTTTGATTATCATATTTTTTCTAATGTGGTCCTTTGTCAATCAACTGCAGGATGAAGGCCTTGACATACTGTGCTGGTCATTTGGCCATACTTCACCATACTGGTCAATTCAAGTTGATGAAGGGGTTCAGATACGGCTCGCCATTGACATAAGCCAAGGCCGGAAATTGAACTCGGTTCGTCTGGTTCACGGTGCAGTGCACGCTAACTACTGCGCCACTGCTCCACCCCTGCGTGCACGTGTGTGTGTGTGTGTATATATACAATGCACACAATAGCACACGTAATTGCGCGTGTGATTACAGCAGTTTCTCTCCCCTTGAGAGACGATCTATCAAAATAAAACATTCTTTGGTGCTCGCCGGGGGAGCAAATGGGGAAAGATCAATGGGTGCTAAATCACCATGGAGACACTTCCGGTTCAAGCGTGCTTTAAGCTAACCAGGTGACTTGTGCTTCATTGCCCGGCAAACTGGCCTTTGATTAAAAACATTTGGCCTCCCGTGGAACTTTTGTCGCCGTGATCTGCAAAGCGCCAAGGCACAAATATTTATGACCGCGCTGCGGAGCTATAATGCGACACTTTGATCCGTTTATTTATTTACTTACTTACCTAAGCGCAAAAACATATATGGAGTCGGACTCACAACGATACACAATAGGGATGTGCAACGTTCAAATTACGAAACGGAGGAGATGGGGCAAACAACATTCATCTACGTTTATATTAAAATAATAATGATCAAGACGGAAATATGTTCTAAGACGGATTTTTTCCCCCCTCATTTGGACACAACGCAGTGAAATAAAAAACACAACTCGTCTTGAAATCGCGCATTGGCCACGTAAGGGAACATACTTCTTATCTCTGCAACATTCTTCCGCCATGCTTGGTGGTCATCACACTCGTTGAAACGAAATGCTTGCAAGTTGTACTTACTACACGCATTGTACGAGCACCAGATGCGACGCCGCTTACATGGCTTGGCGCGGAAGAGCATTCAAAAAAATCGCAATACTGAAACTTAAATAGCATAGCAGGCTACGCTTTACAATTACGGATATCCGAGTGTATTTAGAAATGCCATAATTCATTTCAATATCAGGCATATACACACAGAACTAATGCGTATTCTTAATAATAATGAAAAATTAACCAAGGAAACTTGAAAGAGTGGTTGTTTTTACGGCAGCTTATAAACCAGAATATTTTTGCACACCCAATATTACGCGATGACGTAAGAAAATGTTTCCAAATTAAATAACCTTGTACACATTAATCAACAGCCGTATTGCTTACTTGCACCCGCTTGGGAAATCATGCTTGCATTTTAATATTTAGCAGTTCGTTATACGGCCTATACAAATTTAATTCTAGATTTTAAAAAATTCCCAACACAAGCACATCCAACTAATGCACTTCCTTTCGCCCAAGTGTATGTGGTCACATTTATGGGGGCGGAGGGGAAACTTCTAGATTACATTTGAATAAAACATATGCCTGACAGTTAGAAGCCCTGTCCTAACCCGACCAAGTGCAGTATTGATGTTTTGCAAGTGTGAAAGATCTCCATAAAAAACTGAAATTTAAAAAAAAAACGGCTCATCTCTTCTGTTCCACTTTCAAGCCACAGGCATGACATCCTCCCCAAGTCATAGCAGAAGACGTCAGCTCCAACCCCAGCGATCCTAACTGCCCAACTCTTCTTTGTGCGCGTACGCACGCACCCCCCCACAATCCCAGCTCACTCACTCTCTCGGTATTTTTTTGTATTTTGAGCAAGTGGGCTCCCGTCCATAAATAACGGTCGGCGTCAATGTGGTTTTGATTAGCAGCGAGAGAACCCAAGGCAACAAAATGCTCCACGAGTCTATGAAGTGATGAACGCAATTCATGTTTGGGGAGAACACTGTTATCCTAAGGGCTTTCAGAGAGGTATAAAGCGCAAAGCAGTGAATAATGGGCAGGAAAGATCAGTTTACAAATTCAAAAATAAGCCGTGGCCCGATGGAAATGAGCAAAGAGGTCCTGCTGAGGACTGGGATAACTGGGTTGGGGGTATTGGACTTGGAAATTCAAAACAATGGTCTCTGGCACAGGCATGCAGAGGTGAGAGTACGTGTTGTTTCTTTGTACTTTTAGGATTCGAGCATTCAATCTCCGTGCGTAAGTAAAAAGTTCATAAGCACATTGCCACGAAAGGCCTTTAGAAAAATTGTATATGCTTCGCAAAATCCAACTTTTGATACTGGCTATATCGGGAATGAACATCACAGCGCAAGCATCATACAGGTGCCTTGGTTTGGCTGCGAGCCAAAGGTACACAGATTAAAACCTAGGAATGCCAGTGGTTGCCAAGTATGGCTCTGTGTGTCAACGCATATATTTCCATGTGCATGTATGTATACCCAAGATGTGCAGTGTGTACACATACCCACATTCCTGTTTAAGTCGAAAATATAAATGTGAAACAAAAACACAAATGAATGTGAAATAATATCTGCCATCGTGCATTGTATAATATATCTGCCACTGCGATGTCATGAAAGTTTTGATGTCAACATCACGTGTGCCAAGCTTGCGACAGACGGAAGTTATTAATACAGATGTGTATGAACCACAGAGAACCACAGCACATAGTTATCGCTTGTTTAGACACATGCATATGGCCACGGGATTGTAAAGTCAAACACACCTCATTACAGCCCTGCCCTCAACTACGTTTCCAGAGTTGATTTATGACTACAGGGCATCGGAGACTGCTTGAATCCGCATGTGATCCATACATTGTTTAAATATAGCCCCTTAGCTGGGAAGGGGAAACACAGGCACAGAGACCACAGACTAAGGTATGTGGCATTCAAACGTGGTCTGCTCATGCTCATAATAAAGGTGATAATGTAGGGCTCTTTATCAATCAACTGCTGGAATGAAGGCCTCCCTGCACCATGTTGATCGTGGGAGTTAGTCTGACCATACTTCACCACTTTGGTCATTGCAGGCTGGTGAAGGGCGAGGAAGCCGGTCAAACCCATGCCAGGAATCGAACGCAGGTCGCGAATGCTCATAAGAGGAACTAAATCTCACAAGTACGGTAACGTAACGATTCAGTCATTTTTGAGGCCGCTCTAACTTTCTCAAAAGCGAAGGTCACTCTTCAAGTGAGTCTATACACTGCAGTCAGTGGGGTTACTGCCACCAAAAACAATTTCAATAATATTTCATTTCATATGAACACAAATTGGACCCTTGGCAGAAATGAAACTCTAATAAGGGGATCTGGCATTCATGAAGTAATCTCTGCTGGGAGTGACAAGAGCTAATCTCATACAATTGGAGGTCCAAGTAGAGCCAATGACCGAGTGTGGCTCGTGTATTCAAGTTAAAGTTCAGTGTGTGTTCGCGTATTTATATATCCGTCGGTCATAAATCATGAATTTCAAGTACCATAGTTTCAAGTTTTAATATTACTGTCAGTGGTGCAACAATTCATGCATCCACTGGTGGAGCCAGTGGGGGGGGGGGGGTGGCACGTGCTCCCCAAATGATCCGATCGAAATCCCTAATTTCGATCGGATCATTGGAGTTTATTAGTAATAAATCGGTATTTTGCGACCGCCACTGCCACTGTGTAGCATATTATTACGTGACAGGGACTCTATGAGATGATAGGACAATAGTCTGAGTCCATAATTGGCAATAAGTAAAGGCAAAGCAGTTATAAGTGACTCACAGAATTGCGAGCAGTTGCGTATACAGTACACGACTTCCCTGAAGGCATTCACCTTCAGCGAGCGCGAGGCCGATCACGCAACGCGGTTCTAATTCGACCCTCGATCGATGGCTGCGCCATCGACGCACACGTGTCGAATAAAAAGCAAGGGACAAGTCCTTACTTACTAACAACTCCTATCATTTTTCACTGCTGGAGGGGTTGCCCCTCCTACCTGAAAATCCTGGCTCCGCCATTGCACGCATCCATAGCCCCTTAGCATTGATCGTCCTTTAAAATAACACCGAAATAAGTCCAAAGTGGGAATTTCTGCCAAATTTGCACTTAGTGCCGAAAGTGGCAGACCGGATATGATTTAAGTTTGACTACAACACAAATTGGATTAATATAAGCATCCAAAATGTGACGGCATCTCAATACGCTGCGCAGAATCATCGGGGATTGTTAAGTTTGCAGATGAGGCAGCAAGAAACATCCACAATAAATACAAAACAGTGTCAATCTAGGACACGATAACATAAATAACAGTCGATCATGATGGCGCTTGGCGTTTGCCCAGGGTCGGCAATCCACGCGTCCTGACTTACCATCTCGGGTGGATCGTTCCACTCCTCATAGGAGCGGGCTGCGTAAGGGTAAACGCGGTCGTTGATGATCTGCAGGGTGCTCAGGACGATGACCTTGACTGAGCTGAAGTACATCTCCCAGTAGAATTTCACCTGTTTGATAAAAAAAAACATTGCAACATCACATGAGCCGGAGTAGTTGGATTCAGATGCAACAACAAAAGGGGCATTAGTAGTCTAAGGAGATAAACTCAAATACAATACAACTCTCATAACCTATAGCTTTAATATTTTAATATTTTACATCACGTGGAATTAATTAGTGTTGTCATCACATCTACACCTCTATTTAAGGAACAAAACAGGTGGAGGACTTCTCCACTAATCTGGCTGTCGCCTGGTGAAGCTAGTTGTAATTACTGGCGAAACGTTGTACTCAGATTGTAAATGTTGTGCTTTGCTCTCCAACACACCGGTGTGCTGTACTGGTGACGAATTGGCATGTTCTGTTTACGTGGACAAACCTTACTAGTTGGCTGTGTCGGGTGGTGGTGGGTTTAACGACACATTTACATATGTACGCGATCTAACCCTAAAAACCTGTATGGATAAAAAAAAATGTCTGCTCGTAAACAATGTATTTTCTAATGTGTAAAATGTACACTGTAATTTATGATTATCAGAGGTGTAATATTTTAAGCCCCTGCAATCCATTCTTCCTCTTCTTTCAAATGGCTGATGTCGATGCAAAGGAACAACTACAATTTCACAGGTGGTCAAGCCAGACAACGGTGTCAGGAGTGTATCGCTGTGGTGACGTCTCCTTCGTATTTGTGGATCGGGCATTGCGCCGTTATATGTTGTACGGTCTGATCTGGATGACCAGTCGCACACTGGAGAAGTTTTAATTTTCCATTTTTGCATCAGGTATCCACATCTGCCATGGTTTGCGTGGACGCGGTTTAGTGTCGACCATGAGCTTAGAGGAAGATCAAACCCATGGATCTTCTGTGTTGGGTCTAGAACCCTTAATTGTGACAATTCAATGGATTGCATTGAAATGGATTGCATTGAATTAATTGTCACAATAAAGGGTGTTCATTCAAGATTGTTTATTTTTGTGGTGAATATAGCAGCCCCTAGTTGCTGGAGGGGGGTCACATGAACAGATAATGTTAGATAGATGAAAACGAATAGACTTACAAGATTCAATCAATGCTTAATAATTGATCAAACTTGATTAAGTGATGCATCGCGCACAGCTAATTATTATACAGTCTTTCTTTCTTTTGCCTCTTGATCAAATAACCCGGAATAGATGCCATCTTATCAGATCTCAAAAGCTAAGCGGGATTTTGGAGCCTGGAAATTGCTTAGATTGCAGCCACCAAGCATCACAGCTGTTTTCGACTGCTGCTGTGTGGTTACGTCGTGAGCAGCAGAGGTCAGTGAAACAAAATCCTTTGCTGTACCGTACTTTTACCAACTTGCACTGACCAGCGTGCTGAAGTACGGTTAAAGAACCACCATCCGCACGGTGCAGGGAGGCCCTCATCCAGCAGTAGATTTAGAAGAGGGCTGTACACGTACCGATGTTTCTGAAGGTATGCTATCACTCCAATTCTCATGGTTTGGTCCGATGCGATGCAATATGCATTCAATAGCCAGACATGAAATGAATATTTTGCAATGGCTTGGTGCCATTCTTAATGACCCCAACAAAGGTTTGTGATTCATGCTTAATGATCCAATAATGAATCATGAGCAGGTCCCAACCACAACGCACAGATTTAACACCACATGTCCATGCAAACACAAGTTATTACTTCCTCCCATGGTCAATTCAGCAATGTCTGCTCTCAGTTCCCTTGACGGGATTTCATAGTTTCGGTTAATTCTCCTTACATGCCTACATGCAACAAAAACATGTTTTTCTTACCAATTTCACTGGTTGATTAGCATACCAAATAAAGTTGATTAAGCTTAAAGTCTATTGAAGTTAAATGGAACAAAGTTACCGTTACCATCTTTCAAATGAAGAACATTTTAGTACGTACAACGTGCATTTTGTAAACTTTGCTATCAAGCCAGATTTTAATACACCTCAATAAATATCGTAAAAGAATATATATATGTTTTCTTTCGTGGGGGTTGAATAATCCCTCACGAAGTCGAAATTTAAATCGAAACCTCACGAAGTTGTCAGATATGGAGCCCAGTTGCTCATGGATGGGTATTTACGCATTCGTTTCGGTGCTGAGTCAGAGATCAGCTTCTGCTGTACAGATGTTGCCTCCATCCCCGCCGCCCAACCTCACGGCACAGCGGCGAGTGGCGCTGCCAACGCGACAGCCTCTCCAATAAAAGCGCGCGGCTGGCAAGGGGAGAGGCTACGGGGCCCAAGAGAGACGGAGAGGGTTAATGACGGGGAGAGAGAAACGGGGAGATGGGAGAGAAACGCGGATTAGGAAGGGAGTGAGGGAGACAAAGAAGGTAAGAAATGGGGACCGAGAAAGCGGGAGAGAGAGAGACCGAGGATGGAAAAACGAAGGGGGAGACGGGAAGCGAGGGAGAGTCGCACGGAGAGACGGAGAGAGTGAGAGAAACGGAGAGAGGGTGATAAGAAGCAGGGAGAATGAGGCAAAGGAATGGGGAAAGAGAGAGGGGGGGGCAGGAAAACAGGGAGCCACAGAGGCAGTCGGGGGGGGCGGAGAGTGTAATTGAGAGGGAGTGAACGAGAGACAGACAGGGAGGGAGAAGGTGTATGGGAGAGGGTGGATAAGAGCTTGAGGAAGAGCGTGCGACGACGAGAGTGAGAGACAAGGCAGTCTGACGGTGACGGGAAGAGAAAAAAGGAAGAGCATAATAGACACGAGGATATACGCATGAGAGCAAGAATGAGCGGGTGATTTAGAGTGAGAGGGCAAGTGAGAGTGAGTAAGTGGGAGGGTGAGATTGAGAGAGGGAGGGGAGAAGAGTCCTGCACGGCCTCTGGAGCCTAAAAACCACGTCAAGCTGAGCAGGCCAGACCCTGCCGCACAGATCCCTGGAGAAGAGGCTGGCCCCCTTTGATCTCAGAGACAATGTCCGGGGGTTTGATGGATGATATGGGTTGTACAAAAGCCCTGCCTTGCTGCGATGGTCTGCATGGGCCCAACTTATCAGTCAGCAACGGCCGAACAGACTCAAAGCACACACCCCCTGCCTGATCGCCAGGCCAACAGCAGTCTGCAGAACATTTTTCTAATTTTTTTTCCCTTTTGTTGGAACATAAAACGGGCCCTTAACACGTTATGACAGAGGTCCATTTTATTTGTTGCGCTCGCTCTCCAACCATATGGGTGTTTCAGAGGATGGTGTCATCTTGATAAAGTCCTTACCAGTCTGGTTAACTCTTTGAGTGATCCACCCTCCTATATACCAGGTGAGAATAAGCATTTTTTCAATGAATTTTTCATAAGAATCTAAAAAAAATTTGTTTTGAAAATGGGAAAAACTAAAATGTTCACTGCAATGGCCACCAAATCCTGTGCATGCAGTTGACAGATTTCTCCAGTTTATTCAAGAAGCCTGCTCCTTTTCAAAACTACACTTGTCTGCTATTAATATCGTTATTCTGTTTTCATTGTTGCATCACATGAACCACATGCGATTTATCTGATTAACTATTCACAGGAAACTGACAAGCCAATCAGATGAAAGCCGCTTCGTCTTGATACTCTTGAGTGCAACTGAACCTCCCTCGCCGCCCCCGTTGCATCTGGCATGAGTGGCGCGCGAGTGTAAACGTGCTGATTAGTTTAAACATAACCAGGCGTGATGACAACTGGTGTGAACAGTGCCAGCCTCAAGACTGCAAGCGCCCTCACAGAGTGAACACTGAAATGGGACCCCTACAATCCCCCCCCCCCCCCCCAGCGCTCACGCCGTCCACGCACACTCAAAGCGCGCTGTCCGTGACACGGCAGCCAGGCTTAACAAGCCACCTGGCCACTCCCTGCTCCTGAATCTCTTCATTTTTTTTTTAGCTTCAGCATGCGTCGGTTACCACGAATGGGGGAATGAGCGATTTGCCGAGGGCTCCAATGGCCGCTTTGTGGAAGGTTGCTCCGTCTGGGCCCTTATGACACAAGGCCCTGACCCGCGGCCACGGCGTCAGTCAAAAAGCGGGGCCATGAGCTGCCGAAACATGCCCCACTTAAAAGGGTTTTCCTAACTGCTTGACCTCTCTCGTTATATATAGACTGCGGGCTTAGGACAACGCATTTACCCGCCGCCGGACCCGTTACGCAGAAAAAGTGATGGCTTCTTTTTTAAAGGCAGGGTGACGTGAACACAAACCGTGATTAATGTCAGGGCTGAAAGGGGTCAATCAATTATTTCTTGAATATTTAAATGGGTTCACAAGAAGCTTTGCAGGCATTGGCTCGGAGAAGAAACCAATAGAAAAAGAGGCCTTTTTGCAGACGGCAAATGTTTCCACTCTTTGTCTCAGAGTCACTTTGTGGAGTATTATTTCATGTTCTGCTTTGTTTGTACGAGTGCTGAACTTCTTTCGCAACATATGTAGCCAACCGCGCTAATCGCAGGTGAAAGTATTTAGCTTTGCAAGATTTATTTGTGACAAATGTCTTCCTTTTTAAAGTCTTACCACTCCAAAAGTATGTAACTAAGCATTAACACACATTCTGGTTGATGAATTTACCTTAGCAATCGTTAGGTTATTTTAACATTTGAAACATGTGGGTTTTGAAAATAGCGGTACGAACATTATCACTCAAATGCACAATCTCAATGACACAATGGTCAGCTGCATTAGAATTGTTCCAGAGGAACTGCCACAAATGCACTCTCTCACTTGTCTTTGCATGTCCACAATCTGCTTGTGGGGAATGGTCTTCAGGATGTTGTACATTTCAGGGATTTTCTCCTCTGGTAGCACCACCGATGCTCTGAAAACAGACAAATGAAAAGCAAGTTAAACACATAGGCTTTCGCGACCGACATTATCCATAATAGAGGTTTTGGGTTAGATCGCATGAATATAAATGTGTCATTAAACCTCACCACCACCAGACAAAGCCAATTAGTAAGGTTTGTCACGTAAGCAAAACGTGCCAATTCGTTTATAGTACAGCCGAATTAGTAACGAATTGGAAAACCTTACTAATTGGCTGTGTCGAGGGTTTAACGACATTTATATTCACGCAACCCAACCCAAAAACCTCTTATGGAAAATTAAAAGCAATACATGCATGTACAATAACACAACATTGTGGTGTGATTCGTAACTTTGATCCTGACCTGTGTATCGATAGTTCAATGTTAATGCGCTGTTTTATTGAGAAAATACTGCTGTGTGGTGTTACCTTGATGTAGTCAGACTATTTTATTGGTGTTGTTGCTGCCTTGCCCAAACTTGATGAATCGGACTTTCACAATTTATATATTATTTATTTATATTGAGTCACTTAAATTTCGATTTAAAGCTTTCGTGACTCCAGGGATTCATTTTCTTGGTTCTTTCGGTAAAGTCACGTAGAAGGGAAATAATAAAATAATAATAAAAAACATAATAAAATACAATTCTCACGACATTTCGGCCACAACACAAGACAGAGGACGGCTGCTTGCGTTATGGCCGAAACGTCGTGATAATTGTATTTTATTATGTTTAATTTTTATTTTTTTATTATTTCCCTTCTACGTGACTTTACCGAAAGAACCAAGAAGATTGAGTCACTTGCTTACCTCTTTCTCTATGTTGCACTCCTGTCATAATGTAATTGTATTGTTTGTTAGTTTAACACGTAGCCGGCTTTCGCGACCAATATTATTCATAATAAACGTTTTTGGGTTAGATCGCGTTATTTATAAATGTGTCGTAACCCTCCACCACCCGACACGGCCAATCAGTAAAAAAGTGTCACGTTGACAAAAGACATAGTTCCCTACTTTAGCCCACCGGTGTGTTGAAGAGTGAATCCACAACATTTACAGTTTTTGAGTATGACGTTTCGCTGGTAATTACATCCAGCATCATCGGGCAATTCCAGCGAAACGTCGTATTCAAAAATTGAAAATGTTGTGGATTCACTCTTCAACACACCGGTGGGCTAAAGTAGTGAACTATTTGTCTATTGTCAACGTGACACTTTTTTACTGATTGGCCGTGTCGGGTGGTGGAGGGTTACGACACATTTATAAATAACGCGATCTAACCCAAAAACGTTTATGAATGTATTCATCTTCTTGGTTCTTTCGGTAAAGTCACGTAGAAGGGAAATAATAAAATAATAATAAAATCATAAAAATAAAATATAATAAAATAAAATTTCAGTTTATTTTTTTATCTTATTTTATTATGTTTTTTTCCCCTTCTACGTGACTTTACCGAAAGAACCAAGAAGATGAATCCCTGCAGTCACGAACGCTTTAAATCGAAAAATATGAATGTATTGTTTGTTGTTGTAACTTGCTGACGCGCCCATATTGGATATATGTGAAAAAAAGCTTCATAGCTCAACGGATTCCTCCTACAGTCTTAAATAAATAAAAAATCTGACGACCAAAATGACAGCAACACATTTCCGTGACGAGTTCGGTCCCGTCGTTGGTCACAGAAGACGAGCACGCATTTTCAACAAAAGATCTTACGAAAATAATAATCACAAATAAGTGATTGGGGGTTCTTTACTTAAAATTTCAACGCAATACGAATTAATCGGCGCGTCAAAAAGGTATAAAATTGTATGTCAATATATTTGCAGTAATTCGTAGACTTCAAATTGCTAGAAAGGCATGCTTTCTCAAAAGAACGACTGAAACATGTTGAAGAAGGGTGCTTAAAAATTACCCAGCCACTGCCCCCTACTGCCTTGATGCCAGTACCAACCAAGTGTGCTTCTCACCGCTCGCGTTTTGAATGTGAAGTACCCGTGACCACCCTTAAATCTGAAAATAAGGTACAGTAAAACCTTGGATTGCGAGTAACTTGGTCTACGAGTGTTTTGCAAGACGAGCAATTTTTTTAAATAAATATTTATTTGATAAACGAGCGAGGTCTTGCAATACGAGTAGTACGTGTATACGCTTTGTCTGACGAGCGTCACGTGATCACAGCTGATATACGAGTGCTTTGGATTACAAACACGTTTCCAGAACGAATTATGCTCGCAATACAAGGTTTTACTATATTGTGAAGTATATTTGCTACGTAAGTAATACAGTGGTACGTGTGATGCGCTATAAACCGGCGACCCAAGTTTGACTTCTGGCCATGGCAACATCAGTGGCAAGTGGTATACAAACCGTTTCTGTCCTGCCCCCCTATCCACCCCCAACATTCACCAAGCCACAATTACCAGTGTGGTAAGAGTATGGTAACAAAAACCCTCCTGCTATGGTGAGGCTTTCAAATGGTTGGATTCAGAATAGTGGGGTTTGGTTTATTTATCTGTATGAAGCCTTCGCAGCCTTGACTGTCCATCTGTAATATGGCATAAATGTCACATTTTAACTGAATAACCTACAAAGGAGCTTTTCTTTTACCTTTTTACCAAATAAGGACATTTGTTCAAATGGAAGCCTTCTGAAAACTTAGTATATTTCAGCTTCACCAATGAAGATTCTGGCTTATAATTCCAATATTCAAAGCTGCAAATATCAGTCTGCATTGTTGCTCACCACCCAGGCAAGTTTATTGATAAGTTACTCTCGATACTTAGTTGGTACCTTCACCCATTCCAAGACATTTGGCCACTGTGGAGTAGCAGGACAAAAGGAGTCTCTTGCAAGACTCTCTTGCGTTCCCTTTAAACAGAGGCCCTCCTACCAGATAGTTGCAGGGGGTGCACCTTTACTTTCACCACATTTTAACTCTACATCAAACCACTAGCACTGCTCGGATGAAGCATGTACGCACGTAGATATATCCAGCAATGTGTTTCGCTTTTAGGGGCATGAATGCAAATGCTTTTATTCTCCAAGCAGTGCACATACAACAAAGTAACCCTGAAAGTGGGGGGGGGGGGGGAAACCCAAAAACACTGCAAGCATCGAGGGTGGTCAAAAGGAAGCGCCATGGTACTGCTGCTTTCAATTGGACATGCGGCACTTTTCTATGCACAGCAAACCGCCTTGACGCAGGCAGAATAACCGCTCATTTGGTGTTCCCAACTCTTGACAATAAGCGGGTGCCATCGCAATACGACGTGTTGTCACTTAGCAGACCAAATAGCGAGGCCCTGTCTATGCACCACATGTGGCAGACGTGCAAAATTGTATTCATTAATAAATTTCACTCTAACCCAGCTTTTAAAATGTACGTCTCTCTAAAAGTCTCAGAATCGGAACACTGGACTAGAATTGCATCTAGAAATGCACTCTCAGACAACACTACAACAAAGCAATGGAGCAAAGACAGTGTAATAAACTAAAAAATGAAAATAAAACTATTTTTATTCTACCAAGTAAGGCCCACTGAGGTAGAGAGCTCTATTTCAAAAGCGCCCTGGCCGCAAATGATATCTCAACAAAGAGGCTCATCACGTGGAAATTTATAGCAGACAAATACTCTTAACGCATGTTTCTAAATGTAGAGGGAAAAACTGCAGGACTCCGAGAAAAATCCACACGACCACAGGGAGAACATGCAAACTTCAAATATACAGCTGTCATGGTCGGGATCGAACCCGGGATCTCCTGTATACCAGGCAAGGTAGTTAACATCTCCTAGCCACCGACATGAGCAGAAAACAAGACGGTGAACTGCAAATTCTCCAGACAGGAGGCCATACAAATGAGAGGCACCCTAAAACGACATCAGTTTTGCTTCGAAGCATTTATTTAAACTTTGCCTATCTGCTGTCCTCTAACTAATGACACAAGATTGTGACAAGTGGAAACAATGGGTTGGCCAATGCGTCAGTAACAAGGGAAGGACCACATAGCCTATCCATTTATCCAGTGCTCAGTTGCTCAAATGAGAACATTCAACTATCCATCACAGATGGAAAGGCACAACACAAGCACAACAAAGACACTCCCTGTAGCCCGCACAGGTTGTTAAGAAAGGTGCTGTTAACAGGCACCTATTCAGGACGGCATGGAGTGGGTGTGGACAGCACCACACCGACGGCCTTCGTCTCCCCAGTGCTAGCTAATATTTACACCCCACATCAGGCACGACATGAAAAAGCAGAGCCGACCTAGGAGTGGCACAAGACCGGTCCTGTTATTACTCAACATTGATGAAAGCCGTGGCCAGAAATTAAACTCAGAAAACAAGTTTCATGGCACGTTGCGCTGGGTTATTACACAGAACACAAGCACAACACTTCCTCTGCCCACTGGGAAGATTAGCGCTGCGCCCTTGGTCGACACGCATCTCACCTCTTCCAGTCGAGCACATTGGAGAACGGCAGCACGTAGGAGTCGGCGAAGATCACGGGAATGCAGCCGGCCTGCATGACGTCGCTAAGCGCCGACTGGCCCAGCCGAGCCCTCCGCAGCACCACGCAGAACGTAGCCTCCTGTAGGACAAAAACAACACGTCTTTTCCACTGTACAAACCGAGCCACGCCAGGGTCATGCTAGGTCAGCCCGGCATGGTGTGGAAGGCGCTAGGTTGTTTGTCCACTGCAGAAGTTGAGCTGTGCTGCAGAGCGATGCATACAGATGGCGCGGTGATAGCGTGCTTGCACAGTAAATGTAATAACACAACATATACGGGATTTGACCAACAACCGAACATGCTTTGTGTCGAGCAACATTCAGGTATCTTGAGAGGCTAGCTTAACTAGATTTTGGTTTTGTTTGTTTTCCTTCCCACCCCACACCTCCAATTAGCACGGTTGGCTACGTACAGTGAAAAAAAAGTTCAACATATACATGCATACACACTGGCCCATGCGACCCCTCTACCGCCATTTCCTAAGTGACAAGATTATTCAAGTCCTGCTTCATGGGCCATTTGAACCAAACCACAGCTCCGACCTTCAGCGCAGGCACTGACAGGCCCACCCTAGAGGCCTTCTGCGAGGAACCGAGGCGACATGGTGGACACCACAGCAAAGGGGGGTGGGGGGAGGGGGCCCCCAACCCCTTTCTGCTGCGTAAATCACGGAAGCTGCGCCAGTGGGAGTTGCACGCGTGTTGAACTTCTTTCCAACCGTACAAGACAACAACTCTCTTGACTGCCAACTCAGAAACATAACTCTGAAGGAAATAGCAGTGGAGGGGTCAAGGTGGGTAGGGTTCCTCTCGACCCCTCCCCCCTTCCGGGAAGAAGGGAGCCGGGGAGGCCCCCCCCCCCCCCCCCCGCACGTAGGTAATATTGAAATATACAGTTTAAGTTTCCGGGTGTCCGGCACAGAGCTGGAGTTAATCTGTACCTTACCCAGAAACGTATTGGTGGCAACTATATAAATAATCATGATTTGGTTCCGGCTCAACATGGAATGAAGCCATTGGAAAACCACCTGTGTACTGTGATGCTCTGCACAGATTTTCCAGTGGAAGATGGGTAAAAAAAATCCTCATTTAGGCTCATACAGGGGCACGTGATATTAGCGGCAATCCGTACAGGCCTGCTTATGACCAAATCGCCTGGAATGTGCCAGAACATGTAGTACAAGCAGGCTTGAGTGAGCATAGTGCTCGTGTAGTGAGCGACTTCCGAGACACGTCACGTAGAGAGCTTCTTATTTATTCTCACACTGGGCACAACCCTGAGCGTTATACAGAACGTTTCTACATGGCTACACGTAGCCGACCCGTCTACTCAACTCCACCGTCGGCGTCTAACTACACAGCTGTCTGACTAGCGTAGCGACGACGACGACAATGAGAGCCGTGCAGAGTATCGGCCACGAGGCCAGACGACGAAGAGAGATGACGGCGAGCAGCGACGCAGCCAGGACCCAGAATCCGCAACAGCCCCGAACCTCTGGTTCCGTCCCCCTTATATACCGCCCGGCGTGGCCAAGCCCCGCCTCCGGCCACGCCCCTTTCCAGAACCTTCCAGCAGGTTCCCGGAGCTTCTCGACTGACTCCGCCTTTCACCTTCACCCCAGACACGCCCCCCTTCTAGTTAGTCATTGTATAACTTGCCCGTACCCGCGCTTACCCCTCCAGGCCGCCAGGTGGCACCCTGTCATTACACTTGGATGTACGACCAACATGAATAATAGGCACTCTAGGTTGCCGTGGAACTATGTTGTGGGCAGCACGGCAACATCCATTGATAAACTCTTCTATGCACCCATGTCTATGCTCCTTGCATTGACCCACCCATAGTGACCGATGTAAGGTAAAACAAGCCCTTTCTCTAACATGGCATGGAAGGTCGTCATCCAGCAGTGGATTGACAAAAAATCTTGTATACTATTCTTTTTTACATTCGATCAATGTGCTTTTCTTACATTTACAAAAAAAACATCCATGACTGTAAAAACAAGACAAGAAAGCATCCGTTTGTGACTCAAACCACCATGTCGATTCGTGATAATTCATAGGATCGCTAATGGGGGAGTTAGAATGATATCACGTGCACGACATCGGAAAGGAATCGGAAGAAAAACGTTGTGGGAAGGGGCATAGGAAAGGGTTAAAAACAAGCATGGCGGGAGTCCACCAAGGCGGACGCACACCTGCAGGATCTCGGGGTAGCTGTATGTCTTGTCCTTGCGGCAGCGCGTGCGAGCGTGCGTGGAGCCCTGCGGCAGCGCGGCACAGCGCTCCAGCAGCAGCATCTGCTCTCCGTTATCTGCCTCCACCGTCTCCAGCTCTGCACGGTGCTCCATGTGGAGCCCAACTTGCGCCGATACCACAAACCAGGCGCGGTACCTGCGGTTAAAACGATTAACATTATTGTACTTGCAATAATAAGAGCCAACACCACTGAGAACCTGGGTTCAAGCCCTGGGTCTGGGTCTCTGTCTTTTATAGAGCCTGTTGCTGTCCTTCCCCAGCATCTCCGACTAGCACGGTTGGCTACGTACGGTGCGAAATAAGTTCAACATACATACAACCTGTAGTGGAGGATAAACTAAAAGCAGTTCAATAGGTAATGAATGTAACCGGTTGTAAGATAAACGACAAAATCAGTGGTTGGAAGACTCAGGAGACGGAGCACTAAGTTAATACCTCTGAGATCCTGGATTAAAATATGGGTTTGAGCCACCAATGATTAAATAATTCACTCAGATTGTTTTTTAAGTTGCTAGTCTCAACCTAGTTAGCAATAAAACATTAAACCTGTCTTTTTTTACTTGATTTTGCATAAGTTTCAGCTCCCGTGAAAAAAATATTCCCATTTATTTAAATGCATTGAACAATCTTTCCAGGAATTTTTATGCATGCCTATATTGCTTTTAATCAGACCTCACAGTCAGTTCTGTGCGATCATCTTCTGCAGCCGTTTACTGACACAGGGTAATGCACTGCTAGCTGCATAATTCCTGACAGAAATGTCTTTATCTCATGACATGGCGTTGATAGTTCAATTGAAACATAATTGTAAAAAAAAAACATGCACCAAAAAAATAATTAGGCAGGATTCATTCTAAGATATTTTACAAAGAGCAAATAAAAACACGTGCAGCAGAGTGCAATTAAAACAACATCAATCGTCATTGGGAACAGACGCGTAAAAAAATATCAACTGAAAGAAGTTATAATGGCCATAACATAGGCCATCAAAGGCAATGTATTCTCATCATTAAACCTTGGGTACTGCAAGCCGACAAGGAAGTAACCACATAGTGCAGGTAATGCAGAACAAAGTTGTGAACTGTTTTGACAGCAAGGAGGAAAGTTTTAAATTGCATCGAGTATTGAGCTGGAAGTCAACCAAATAGTCCCAGGACCGGCATTGTACAATGAGTTGTCTATGTGCCAGTAATCATCTTGAGAGTGGCAACTTGGAGTAATTTTACATAATGAATAGACAGTACTGTGTTTATTTGGGAACAGGAGTTGGGGGAGTTGCATTAATCGAGTCTGGATGTATTAAGAGGCACGCACTAGCATCCGAGTATCAGTTTCATGAACAATGAAAGACTAAAACTTGATTTGATGAAAGACTGAATCACAGGTTACCACAGCGCTCACACCAGCACACCAAAGCCCCGTAAAAAGAGATTCAATACATGCGCATTTCCAGGGTAACAATTGAAGATGAACACAAAATGAATCAAATGCACCGCAGACTCCCTCTACAATGCTCATATCGAATGCCATCTAAGTGTCAGGCGGTCCTCATCTCCATTGGCTGTACCGTGTACCGAGTCAATGGTGGAAATTCCACGTGTCCGTGGCGAGGGGAAAAATCCTCAAAGGCGAAACACAGTTGACTTCCAAAGCAGTGGAACCTGTCCTCCTTTGAGAAGCGTAAATCACCTTGTGAGTAGTCGTATGCTGACTGCTGGCTGGGATTCGAACTCAAAGCAAGGAAGATACTGATAAAAGGTGTCACCACTGGTTGTATATTTATATAAAACCACTGGTTGTAATGCAGAAAATCATTGAAGCATAAAAACTACAAAACATAAATGAATTAAATGTTATTATAAACACTGCCACACTGGAACAAGCAACTGCATTTTGAATTCATTAAATATTTTTCATGATGACGCAGTGTCTTTCAACAGTGCAGTGAATTCACCACTGCACATCCACTCCACACACAAATGCACTTACAATCAAACACCCGCTCCCCTTCCCTCCATTGAGTGCACTACCAAGTTCACACATTGTGCCAATAGGCCAGCTTAGGGGAAGCAGATGAGACTTAAAATTGAGCAGACGCGACAGGCTTCGGAGTTGGCCCCTTGCATGACCGGTGAAGACCACACAGTTGGGAGTGGCCGAGTTTAATCAATTGCAGTGATCGCTATCGCGTGCCGTCGTAAGTGCGTCCCACCGCCGTGTCCCCCCTGCTTGAGGGTTCAGGGTACAGTTAATTGTGCACAACAAAAGCACGTTTATATTATTTATTTTTATTTTACTTTTAATAATTTAAATTTTTTACCTACGTGACTTTACCGAAAAAAAAACCTAAGAATACGCGTACGTGTGCTGTCCAGGTTGCTGCACAACAGCTTCCGTCTCTCCATCATTTGGAGGATACATATTTAACTCCGTGCGACATGAAGACACGGCAGAGCGGAAGATTGTCGTCATTTAGAGAGCACCGACGCGGACCGACAGCTACGTGGCCGTGAGTGGGGACACAATCCCTTAATATTTCGATTTAAAGCTTTCGTGACTGCATGGATTCATATTATTGGTTCTTTGGGTAGTCACGTAGAAGGGAAATTAAAAAAAACATAATAAGAAAAAAAAACTATATTTTTATTATTTTATTATTTCCCTTCTACGTTACTTTACCGAAAGAACCAAGAATATGAATCCCTTAATCTCCGCAACGCAGTGGCCAAGGCCGTTTAATTTGCGTGTGGGTCCTGATGCCAAGACCCTGGCTCTCTCACAGATGTGCAAACCCTCCCACACCTGGCTGTAAAACCTAATTTTAATGTTTTCAACACATCAGGAAATGTGTACACTTCAGAGTTGATTACAATGTATTGCACGAGTCATTTGGCAGACTTGGCTCCGTAAGTAGTGAGTGTCTTTTGTAATTTAACTTAATTCCAAAATGCCATTCCAGCCTCTCTTTACTGCCACACTAAGTTAAAAAAAATCTCATCTCTCCCTTGATACTGTTAAGTCAACAGCTCAATCAACTCTTTACTTACTGTGACATGCATAAGTACCTTCATGTGAAATCATGTTCTTGTTTAATCACATTCTTACATATATGCAGGAGTTGAAATCTGCTTCATATCGGCGAAGATTAGACTCCTCGGTTATTTTCACAAAAAATGACACCATGGCAAACAAAAATGTTCACTTCACACCGTTTTACGTCAGTGACACTGACAATTATCATGCACTTGCACCATCTAAGCGGAAGAGACAAATCAAATGCAACCACTTTCTCGCCAAGGAGCCACTGAAACTACAACACAAGATACACCAGATCTAGCACACCATTATCAATCCACTTTTAGATCAAGGCCTTCCCAAGCTGTAACAATCCCTCCCGGTCCCACGATGTAACGATCCGTGTAGTGCCCGCACACACACGAGCTGATTTCGTCACTCCATCTCTGCCACAAACGCTCTCTCGGGCACGTTCCTGCCGCTGTGGTTCGTCTCGAGCATCAGCCATTGTCCCTTCTGTTGACCTATCCTGCCCAATCCCAATTGTTTTTTTATTTAAAACAAATCTAAAACGTTCTAGATTTGAAGCTTTCGTGACTGCACGGATTCATACTCTTAGGTTGTTTCGGTAAAGTCACGTAGGTAAAAATAAATAATAAAAGTAAAAATAATAGAAATAATTATAGAAATAAAATTATAAATCACGACGTTTCGGAGGCAACACAAGTCTCCGTCATCAGGTGGGACCGTCACAGCTAAATTTACTGTATCAAGTGAGGCAAAATTCCAAGAGACAAGCTCTTAAATACAAGTTAAGGGGGGAGGAGGGGGGAGGGGCTTATCTGAATGTGGTAGCCAATGAATGGAACGTGTTAGGGAGGGGGTGGGCGGGGCTAAAAGAGAACAAAAGGTGCACTTGTTGTTGTAACCGATGTTGGCTGACAATCCAAATACAAAAAAGGCAGTACTGTTAAACGCTGGGGATGTCAACACTCGGTAAAGAAGAATAGTACCTGTCAAATATGATGGTCCAAATATGTGGTTAATAACGTTCGTGTATAACGTTCATATCTTTCACAACCCAAGTATTGCTCTCTCAGTGTCTCCGTGGAATTCCAAGTGCATGCCTCTCATGATTGTTTGCACAAGTTTCAGGTTTTGTTCACCTTTTCTCTGTCAGCGTCCAAGTTTCTGAAACATTATACAGCGTGTCTGTACATGAATCATCCCTTATTCACGAATTATAATTATTAGACGACAGTTTGACGATGTCCATAAAGCAAACAACACAACACATTCGCCAATAACGCTGTGTGTTGCTCTGCAAGTAAAAATACATAACAGGCATTTTTCTTGGCAATGGACATTCATCATATCACGTAAATAGAGTTGCCAGAGTCAGAGTAATAAAGCGAATACGAGTTGGAAACTGCACTTTATACTATCATCATCACGATCCATGGGCAGATAGCCTGTAAGTATCCAGTGCACACTTCATCATGTTTCCTCTTTCCTCTGTCCTGTGCCAATATCTTCAAGTCGTGAGATCTTCTGGCACCAATTTCTTATGTCGCCTTCCAGCCATACTATGGGATCTGACAAAAAACTAAACTTGGAAAAATGTCTCCCGATTTACAAGGTTTTCTTTTAATTTGGCATATGAATAGTCACCTACTGAGTAGCAGACAGGCCCTTTAAACAATTAAACATGTATTAACAAATAATTATAATTTTAATTTACGTAGCAAAATGTTGCTGCTGCAACATATTCTGGGTAGAAATGCTGAGGTCAATGCATAACTCACTCAGTGCTGCATTTCCTGAGGCCAATTATAATTTCATTGGGATTAGAGTAGCACTTAAGAAATGTAAGGGTTAAATGGATCAAAGGGACTTGAAACTGTTTACATTCCTCAATCCTATAAGAGGGGTAGAGGAATTTATGGTGGAAGTGGGGTAATTTTGAAAATTAGTTTGAGCTTGCATCCCAATTTTACTGCGAAATCAAACGTGCGAAGGAAACAGATGCACGATCCAATGAGAGAGACACCCATGCATAAAAAACCTCTCCAATTCACCGGCTTCGTTATCGCGCGCCAGGCGAGAGAGCGGGGTTTGGA